TGTTCTTTTTTTAAAAAAGGTTTTATTTTCTGCTAGATATCCCAACAGTGTGTCTGTGTTAAGGTTGGGATAGGTGGTAGCCTTACTGTCAACCTTCTCTCTTTATTCTGGCCTTACCATTGGCTAGTTAATTAATTATAGGAGTGTGTTTGAGGTGGGAGTCGAATCCGTACCGTCTGTTTGTGTGGTTGGCGAACATTTCATTGAACTATCGGGTGCCTGGTTTGACTAGATTAGTCCTCTGACTACTCACTGTGTAGTGTCTATTATTTGTTATGTACGGAAGTTTGGGAGTATACTTATTTTACAAATTGGAATGTACGTCTGTGTCTAAACTTGATGCACCGCTGCTGCCTTATGTACAGGTTGAATTCTGTTTATAACCAGAAGTTTATATCTTGTAAAAATGCTTTTCATATATGGAAACTTTTCAAAGAAATTACTAGTGGTAAGCAAATGAATAGTATTCCTTATTCATTTGATGTGTATACACTAAACAAGTCTTTCACACATTCTCCCACAAATGTCAAACTTTCTAGTGTTACAAGAGTTAATGAAACCTACTTCCCTGGTTTTAATACAAATGATGTTCTAAAATGTCTCCAGTCGCTGAATCTTTCTTGTAGCTTAACTCCAGATGGTGTGCCTAGTGTTATTCTTAAAAAATGTGTAGATATCCTTTGTTATCCTCTCAGTGACATATTTAATGAATCTTTTTCCAGAAATGTCCTGCCAGCCGTTTGGAAGAACAATAAAATTGTACCTATACTTAAGTCATCTACTAGAACATGTTTTAAATCTAGACTTGTTGCTGTTACCTCTCCTTTTCTAAAAACTATGTAAAAGTTGATCTTACTTAATCTTTAACCTTCATTTGAGGCCTTTAACGATCCAAAACAATTCTCCTGGACACAATTGGTGATCATAATGGTTCGAATATGACCGGGCTGGAAAGAATCACCAACCATGGGAAACTATGGGAACAAACAAAACAAGAATAAACCAATCGCCAACCAACAAATATGCAGGAGAAAGTGGAGATGGATGGATTGGACACTCGCTCACCGAGGAGGCCGCTGGGTGACATGGCGCGCGCGTCATGCCATTGCTCGAGTGGAACCAGACCGAAAGGGAAGCGGCGAGTAGGACTTCAGTGCAAGGGTGACATGGAGGAGATCGTGTGAAGTGGAGTTGAAAGAGTATGGACTAACATGGATGCAGGTGAAAAGTATAGTAGAAGACAGAAGGAAGTGAAGACGTGCAGCAGTTGAAGACCTATGTTCCACTAGGAACCCAAGGGAACAATAATAATAATATAAAGAGACGTCCATCGGAAAAAAACATCTAATAGCGGAGAGATAGAGTTGACGTGAGAAATGGCGAATGAACCTGTGTTGTGGGGCGGGGGGAGGGGACATGATAAGAAAACGAAGAAACGAAATACGAAAGGCGGAAGTAACACAAACAATGATTTTAATATAAGGCGCTCATACTTTCCCCATGTATGCATGTGTGTATGTGTGTGTATATCAGATCCCACATAAACATCCCATTATCAAGTCTGTTGTCTTCTACTGTTAGATTAGTACTCGAAATACCACTTCAAGTATGACGAATACACCGGGGTCGAACTCGATTGTAAAGCAATTTTTAAAATGGTTCTTGGGTTAACATCATGAACTCTATTCTTAAATATAAAATACCACAAAGGTAGGTAGGTACTCACAAGAAATAGATATATAACAGTATAAATATTTACAAATCAGTATACTAACCTTCTTTCTCGCTGTCATATATGCGTATGAGTTCGATCTCCGGCTTACTTCATAGGGAGTGCCAAACAAAGCAGAATTAAACAGCTATCTAGCACACTCGAGCTTTCAATTATATATAAATCTCTAACTGATTTCGACTGATGATCAAATTTTGAAATAAGTCAATTTCTTTTTTTAAAAATTTGATTTTGGTTCTCATTTTCCATAGAGCTGTGACTACTCCTGTGGCAAAGAAAAGACGACGCTCATCAATTGTACCTCGTTCACTTCGTAGAGTGAAGAAAACTACAGGAACAATGTCTACTAAATCTGCTGAAATGAATTAAATCGCTCCAGCTTCGAGAATATAGTGAGTAGAAAGTTTTCTCCAATGAGTTGTATATCAATTTTTCACCCCTGTATGGGTGTATATCTGTTTATATACGTTAATCGTTCAGTAGTAGCAGATTACTCGTCACCACCACTCAGACGGTCTTGGGTTCGATTACTAGTCACCATCAGATGGGCACTCTTAAACCTTGTCTAGCTTTTGGGAGTAAACTAGGAAAAGAGCGAAGTTTAGGCGTGAGGGTGGCCAGCCCTCCACCCTTCTTTTCGAAAACGTCTTTGCTACTGAAACCACTAAGTCAATCTGCACGAAGAATGTTCTTTTCAGTAATTTCTCTTCAGGTTCTTACAATTATGAAATATAATATTTGTGGTCGTTACAATAACGATAGCCAGTTATGCGGCGGATACATTTTTAACCTAGAATAACAGATTAACAGTTATGGGGTGTCAAAATAAGTAGTCGTATTTGTGTGACAAACGTGCTAGGCTAAAATCGATTAGAAAATATTGTAAAACGGGAGACAATGGTGGTGATTAATCATAATAGATTTGTAGAGTGTGGGGTAGGGAAATTGACAAATCAGTTCAGTGTTATCGAAGGTGACAGGTGAGTGGCTAGTACAAAGTGGTCTGTCTTAAACAGGGGGTAGTAAGACTGCAATGAGAGGTTCATAATGAGATAACGAATATGTTAAATGAAACAGGTGGAGGCACATATTAGGAAAACAGATAATATCACTAATAACACCACATAACGCATATATGACAGCGAGAAAGAAGGTTAGTATACTGATTTGTAAATATTTATACTGTTATATATCTATTTCTTGTGAGTACCTACCTACCTTTGTGGTATTTTATATTTAAGAATAGAGTTCATGATGTTAACCCAAGAACCATTTTAAAAATTGCTTTACAATCGAGTTCGACCCCGGTGTATTCGTCATACTTGAAGTGGTATTTCGAGTACTAATCTAACAGTAGAAGACAACAGACTTGATAATGGGATGTTTATGTGGGATCTGATATACACACACATACACACATGCATACATGGGGAAAGTATGAGCGCCTTATATTAAAATCATTGTTTGTGTTACTTCCGCCTTTCGTATTTCGTTTCTTCGTTTTCTTATCATGTCCCCTCCCCCCGCCCCACAACACAGGTTCATTCGCCATTTCTCACGTCAACTCTATCTCTCCGCTATTAGATGTTTTTTTCCGATGGACGTCTCTTTATATTATTATTATTGTTCCCTTGGGTTCCTAGTGGAACATAGGTCTTCAACTGCTGCACGTCTTCACTTCCTTCTGTCTTCTACTATACTTTTCACCTGCATCCATGTTAGTCCATACTCTTTCAACTCCACTTCACACGATCTCCTCCATGTCACCCTTGCACTGAAGTCCTACTCGCCGCTTCCCTTTCGGTCTGGTTCCACTCGAGCAATGGCATGACGCGCGCGCCATGTCACCCAGCGGCCTCCTCGGTGAGCGAGTGTCCAATCCATCCATCTCCACTTTCTCCTGCATATTTGTTGGTTGGCGATTGGTTTATTCTTGTTTTGTTTGTTCCCATAGTTTCCCATGGTTGGTGATTCTTTCCAGCCCGGTCATATTCGAACCATTATGATCACCAATTGTGTCCAGGAGAATTGTTTTGGATCGTTAAAGGCCTCAAATGAAGGTTAAAGATTAAGTAAGATCAACTTTTACATAGTTTTTAGAAAAGGAGAGGTAACAGCAACAAGTCTAGATTTAAAACATGTTCTAGTAGATGACTTAAGTATAGGTACAATTTTATTGTTCTTCCAAACGGCTGGCAGGACATTTCTGGAAAAAGATTCATTAAATATGTCACTGAGAGGATAACAAAGGATATCTACACATTTTTTAAGAATAACACTAGGCACACCATCTGGAGTTAAGCTACAAGAAAGGTTCAGCGACTGGAGACATTTTAGAACATCATTTGTATTAAAACCAGGGAAGTAGGTTTCATTAACTCTTGTAACACTAGAAAGTTTGACATTTGTGGGAGAATGTGTGAAAGACTTGTTTAGTGTATACACATCAAATGAATAAGGAATACTATTCATTTGCTTACCACTAGTAATTTCTTTGAAAAGTTTCCATATATGAAAAGCATTTTTACAAGATATAAACTTCTGGTTATAAACAGAATTCAACCTGTACATAAGGCAGCAGCGGTGCATCAAGTTTAGACACAGACGTACATTCCAATTTGTAAAATAAGTATACTCCCAAACTTCCGTACATAACAAATAATAGACACTACACAGTGAGTAGTCAGAGGACTAATCTAGTCAAACCAGGCACCCGATAGTTCAATGAAATGTTCGCCAACCACACAAACAGACGGTACGGATTCGACTCCCACCTCAAACACACTCCTAAACCTCGTCTATAATTAATTAACTAGCCAATGGTAAGGCCAGAATAAAGAGAGAAGGTTGACAGTAAGGCTACCACCTATCCCAACCTTAACACAGACACACTGTTGGGATATCTAGCAGAAAATAAAACCTTTTTTAAAAAAAGAACAAATTTAAAACAAAACTATGAAGAGATGATTATTACCTTTGAGAGGAAAGCGAGTTGACAGCCTGACATTTATTAATCTCCAGTTTGTTAGAAATTTTTGGTGTATCCTTGTCCACTGAATTGGATGCTGTTTGAAGCCATTGTATTGTGCCATTAAAGGATTTGCTGACACTACTTCTTGAAGAAGAAGAAGAAGAAGAAGAGACATCATTCATGTCAGGCGATAAAGTGACTGAATGCTTTCGACTTGATGACAGAGTAACTGAAGGTTTCGATTTTGGCGATATCTGACAGCCTATAGATCGTTGTGTACACGGTGAAGAAGGTGTACACTTTGACAGATGAGCAGACAACTGTTCTTCAAGAGTAGTGATCTTTCCCAACTGAAGTAAAAACGAAAACAAAAATGTCAATATTACTAATGATAATAATAATGATAATAGCGAAAACGATAGTTGTATCAGACAGAGGAATAGGTATATCCTGCAACTGTAGGGAGGACTTTCGTCTACAAGTATGAAGTTCGGCGTCATTTTCCTGCAACTTGGCTATATTGTCTAAGCTAATGTCTATCAAAGATATAAGCTGATTAACATCACATCGAGACAAAGAATCGGCTACGACATTGGAATCTCCTTTGATAAACTGGATGTCTGTTGAGAATTGTGATGTGTAATCCAGTTGTCTGGCTTCTCTCGGAGTGTCTGTCCAACGAAGTGGTAAAAGCATAACAAAGAGGCTTATGGTCGGTTAAGATAGTAAAATGTCGACCTTGTACTAAGAAGCTGAAATGTTTCACTGCTAGATAGATAGCTAACAGTTCTCTGCTAAAAGTGCTGTAACGAGTTTGCGCAGGTTCCAACTTCTTGGAGAAGAAAGCAAGTGGAGGGATGTCATTGTTGAACTTCTGTTGTAAAACTGCTCCCACAGCTACCTGCGATTCGTCTGTACATAGGATGAGTGAGGCTTCTGGGTTGATGTGAGATAACATTACAACGTTGGATAAAGCATCTTTTGCATTATTAAATGCTGCTTTTGCTTCTTCAGACCACTGAAATTTCTTCGGATCGCATCTAAGTAGGTCGGTCAGTGGCTGAGCTATGGAGGCACACGATGGAATAAAACGTCGATAGGAACTGAACATCCCGAGAAAACGTCCAAGTTTCTTTACGTAATCTGGTTCGGGAAAGTTCTTAATAGTTTCTACCTTTTTCTCCTTAGCTCTAATACCATTGGCGGTTATGCGGTGTCCCAGAAACTGTATAGAGGAGACACCGAATATGCACTTTTGGGGTTAATGACGACTCTATATTGCTCAAATCGCTGAAATAAGATGGTGAGCTCATCACTATGTTCTTCAGGCGACGAGCTAGCAATTAAAACGTCATCGATGTATACAAATACAAAGTCCAAACCTTGTGTGACCTGATCCATGAAGCGTTGGAAGGATTGTGAGGCGTTCTTTAGACCAAATGGCACGCGCAGAGATTCGAACAAACCGAAAGGTGTGATGATGGCCGTTTTTCGATATCCTCTGTGGCAACTGGTATTTGGTGATAGGCCCTGATCAAGTCTACTTTAGAAAAAATGGTTTTTCCATGTAATGTCAGGGAGAAATCATGAAGGTGGGGAATCGGGTAACGGTCCGGAACTGTGACATTGTTTAAATGTCGATAATCCCACATGGCATCCAATCATGATCAGCTTTGGGCACCATGTGTAAGGGTGAAGACCAAGGACTATTGGAGGGTCTAATGATGCCGAGCTGCATCATGTGCTTGAATTCTGCCTTAGCGGCTGCTATTTTGTCCGGGGGTAATCTACGAGGACGAGCAAGAACCGGTTGACCCGTGGTAACAACCTTGTGAGTGACTGTATGAGGGACGTCCTCGATGTTACACGACGGTTTAAGTATTTTAGGGAAACGATAGAGTAGGGCGGAAAAAATGTAATCCGCTGGTCTTTCGATGCTGATATTATAGACAAAATAATCGGAGATAATTCCATGGATCTTTAGTTGGGTGTTGTTATCAATCAGTTTTTTATTGTTGACATCAACTGACAGATTGAAATTACTTAAGAAATCAGCCCCGAGTATGGCATGACCGATGTCGGCTACTATGAAATTCCATGTAAAACGTCGATGTAAACCTAGTTCCACTATAAGAGATTGTTCCCCATACGTCTGTGTGCTTTCGTGGTTGGCTGACCCGAGGGACAGTTTTCCTGATGTCCGTGTAGATCGCCTGGATAGTGAAGAGGGGATCACGCTAACTTCTGCTCCAGGAATAGTGTCTGAAGTTTTGTCCTTCACATAGAAAAGGTGACTTGTTTGCTTGCCAGTAACAGCTGTCGCCATCACTGTCTGACTGAGACGTTTCCCTGAGCCTGATTAGCTTCTTTAAAGATGCACAGTTTTACACATTTCAGGGCATGACGTCCAAACTTCTTGTGATACCGACATATATTCCTGTCCCGAGAAGACGTGTGGGAACGCTGTCGTGAGAGAGATCGGCGTCGTGATGGTGACCTTGCTTGTGAACTCCGTCTCCGGACTCGTCGATCAGACCTATTAGTTTCCAACTTGTCAATCCTTGCCGCTAAGTCTGCACTATCAGATGCTTTGTGACCTATGGTGTTATCAGATAGAACATCCATAATACTATCTGCCATGTAATTTAGTGGGTCTAAGTCATACGACTTTCCTGAGATGATTAAAATTTGCTGGACATTTTAAGGTAAACGATGCAACCACACCTGTTTCAGCACTACCTCGTCTACTTTATGGTGTCCGATTAACTGGCGCATGTACCTGAGGAGCTGGGATGGTTTACGTGGGCCTAGTTCACAGCCTGTGAGTAACTGTTGGATTTTTTTCTCATCTGACAAACTGGTGCGTTGTATAAGGAGGGCTTTAAGTTTTTCAAATTGGTTTTCCGTCGGGGGGTTTTCGATGAAGTCGCTGATTTCTGTCAAAACTGACGGAGGGAGTTCTGCCAGCACTACACCATATTTGGCTATCTGGGACTTAATGCCCCGTGCTTCTAGCAACGGCTCAATTACTGCAAACCAAATCCTGGGTTCTGCGAAACCATACTGCGGTAAACGGAAACCAGTGATGGCATTTATTGTGGCATTTGTCGCGTTACTAGTTGTCTGCTCGGTTGAGGTACCGGACTGAGGTGACGACATTATACGTATGAGAATGTTAGTGCGAAATAGGACACAAATATAAGACCACACACAAAATCGCAATGAATATACAAAATGGCAAAAATAAGTATATAGGTACGTGAAAATAATCCGTGTCCTGAACGGGATCACTAATTTTGTGGTGGACCTTAGAGTCTGTTAGCTTATTATTATTTATTTTTTATTATTGCTCTCTTGGGTTCCTAGTGGAACATAGGTCTTCAACTGCACGTCTCCATTTTCTTCTGTCTTCTGCTATACTTTTCGCCTGCATCCATGTTTATCCATATTCTTTCAACTCCTCCTCACACGATCTCCTCCATGTCACCCTTGGACGTCCCACACGCCGCTTCCCTTTCCGGTTCCACTCGAGGGCTTGGCGCGCGATGTCACCCAGCGGTCTCCTCAGCGAGCGTCCGATCCATCTCCACTTTCTCCTGCATATTTGTTGGGCGATTGGTTCTTGCTTTGTTTGTTCCCATAATTCCTTGTTGGTGATTCTTTCCGGCCATCTGATCTTCAGTATTGAGCGAAGACAGTTGTTAATAAAGGTCTGCAGCCTTTTGGAAGTATTATTTTGACCCATTGATATAAGAATAAAACTTGTGCACTGTGGTAGAGTGTAATTCCATTATGGGTAAATTTTGTTTTTTTATAAAGTCTCACAGTGTTATACAGTAATGTTTACTGATGACGTTTCGAGCACAATTTATTGCTCATAATCATATCAAGGTAATCACACGACTTCCTAAATTCATTTATATAGTTCCATTGTTTTTCTCTTGATTTTCACTTGATTTGATTGGTAATAGTATTTTCCATATATCAGGTATGAGTGACGAGTCATTCCTATTGCATGTGTTGGGTGTAGACTCGATGAACAAGGATTCAGTAATCAACCTCTCTCTCCACCTACCTAGATTACTTTTTAGAATTTTAACCCTCTCCCACCCTATTGTGTGGTTGTGTGTTAGCGCATGCATTGCAATTGCTGAGCTTTTTTCTAAATTATTTATCTTCTCGGGGTCAACCATTCTTACCTTAGCTAAATTTTTATGCTCTGACAATCTGACTACCCCTGACCTACTAGTTCGACCTATGTAGTTGACCTCACAGTCATTGCATGGTATTTTGTAATGAGATAAATGTACTTGAAAAAGGACTAAACTTCAACGTATCAGTTAATAAATTAAAACCAGAGGACGTCATTCCTAACATAGAAGCAGCACTAAACTCAATAGATAAGACTACAGCAGAAGAGGTTCGAGCACAATGTGCATTAACCCTAAAAAATCAAAAGAAAACAAAATCAAACTTAACAAAATCGGAAAGGGAAGCTTTAATTAGTCTTAAACAGATAAAAACATTGTCATCGCAAAAGCTGACAAAGGAAACGCCACCGTAGTTTTAGATAAATCTGACTACATCAAAAAAGTTACTGAACATATTCAAACGGGTCCATATGGGGAAATTAAGAAGCCTGTAGATACATTAATGAATAAGGTTAAGAAATCTACAGCGGAACTAATACGCAGAATGAAGCCATCACTGGGTGAGTCTAAATGGTTTAATTTAATGCCTAAAACTAATAATGCTAGTAGAATATATGGTACTATAAAAATACATAAGCCAGGTAACCCCATAAGACCAATAGTAGATTTTAGAAATACCCCCACGTATGAATTATCAAAACACTTAGCTCCAATACTATGCCCCATTAGAAATCGTTCAAACTCTAGATTAACTAATTCATATGAGATGAAAAATAAACTAAATGACATTCAACTAGCGAATGATGAAACAATGGTTAGTTTTGATATAACTGGTCTTTATACTAATACACCAGTTAATATGGCCTTAGAAGCAGTTAAAAAAGAATTAACTGCGGATCCGGAACTCAGTCATAGGACAAAGCTGTCCATTGAAGAAATTATTTTAGGGATTCAGTTATGCCTCACATCTACTATCTTTAAGTTCCAAGGCAAAATATATAGACAAACAGAAGGTGTAGTAATGGGATCACCAATATCCCCTATCGTAGCAGACATATTTATGGACAGCTGGGAAAATAGTGCCCTCAATACATTTAACCCTACTCCGAAAATATGGTGGAGATATGTGGATGACACTTTCACTGTGTTAAAAACAGAACACATCTCTAGCTTCTTGACACACATAAACTCACAAGTTG